CCGTTAGAAATTTACAGCTTCCCCTTGTCACTTCATTTGCGGATGTTTACCAATTCGGTTGCAAGGCGTAGTAGTAACTGCTAAAGAGAAACATACTTCTCTTTTCCAAATCTACCACCTGCTACTCGTGAAGTAATTCTGAGAGTTGCGAGTATCACAAGACTTCCATTCACATCGGATACAAGAGGATTAGCTGCACCTGAAAGAAATCGCGAAGATTAAACCAAAGTACCTAACCAAAGTAATTAAACCAAACCTACCTTCGTTATTCCAAGCTATTAAAAGCTTTACTTCCGCTTCTCCCTAACTTTCTTCCAGGACTGTTCTACGTCATTAGACCAATTGGATTTATCGAATAACGAAACCAATTGTATACCATACACTGGATTGTAGTTCGCGTCAGTATACACACGAATGACAATGAAGCAGACATTCTTGTAGTGGCAATCCAGTTTCCAAGCTCCTGAACCGTGGAATCGAGTCGTCCTTGCGACTACATTTCCGACTGACAAGCATGTACTAAATGTGCACCTATATAAACGGAGCTGAAAACCTTCTTCTTTCTCGCTACCAGTAGAAGAGAATTTACTTTCTCGTTACAGCTTCCGTAGTTGAGAAAAAGTTATGTAATGCTGTGGCGAAAAAACTGGCGAGATTTGGGCAGAAAAACTCATTTTACTTGGTAACAAAAAAGTGGATAAATCCTGTTGCAAAATTTAGAAAAAGCTCTATCACTTGAAGTAGCCAGATCCATGTTTCGTGGTTCTTGATACCGAAAAATCAATTGACGGCATATGGTGTCTGACTCCGTCGTGAACAACGCTTCCAGCTAAACCATTCAGCCGGTTTTCTCCAAAATTGTACTCTGTAACGATCTGGCTGATGTCGCGATCCTTTGAATTTGAAACCGATATTTTTAACTTTGAGGATTCGTATACATGAGCCCAGGGACATTTTCAAAATTTTTGAAATAGTGGACCCTATCATTTTTAATTCAATGGTGCAAGTCTCAGCTCCCTAAAAACTCTGATTTTTCTAAAATTGCGAAAATTCAAAAATTTTTTTAGGCGTTTTCTACACCTACAGTTATGAAAGTAGATATTTTTTCCATAATGGAATGCTTCGTATGAAGATAGATTTTGAAATAAGATCATCTACAATTTTCGGAAATTTGAGTACTATTCGCATGAAAGTACGTGCTGCTTAGCATCACTAGATTAAGAAGCAGCATGAAGAAACGATGAATAAAGTATGTGCGACACATTAAGTTTGGGGACGTCCTCAACCTAGACGAATTTGCAGTCGCCGCGCGCCGGTTAGAATATGTTCCTCGAGCCAGTAGTACAAAATTTGGAAATTGTAATATGAGCAAGTAGATCAGTATTTAACGTCAATTTAAATGACTGAATTTTGCCATGTTTCAATTTTTTTTAGTTTGTTGTCAGGATATGTTAATGAACTAATTAATACTTTGCAACATAAGTCTACCTATATTAATCTACCACGTTCTCCTTGTAATTTCCATAAATGAACGAAAATGTCTGCTTCTTAGACTGTCGAGATCGAGAGATGAGAATGGTAATGCCTACGAGGAATGATTTGTAACTCGTTAGGTACCGTATATTTTTTACGTCACTAAAAAAGCTAATTATTTCATTACATTACCAATTTGCTTGATGAAACTCTCCGCACTAGTACGACGCACTGTGGATACAGTTGGCAAATGAACAATATCAGATATGCATGTTCAAATATTAACATTAGTTGTCTACGATTGTAAATGGTCCCCTTTCATTCTCTCTGTAAAAATATTTATTGTTGTAGCCTGACGAAGGTCGATAAATGCCCGAAACGCCGGCAATGAAAAGAAGTTGTTTCAATTGACCTAAACTCCAGAACCACACAACATGCATACGCACACTACTGTCCGCACTCCCTACGTAAGTGTGTGACAACGTCGCACTGTGTTGTGCGGCCGCCGGCGCCGCGCCGAGCGGAGAAAGTGGGCGGGGCCCCGCCACGCACGGGCGCGCGCGGCTCGTGCCAAAGCGCCATCGCCGGCGGCGCTCGCGGCGCCAGCCGCAGGAATTACGGGCGGCGCGATAGACTCGTCGGCGGAGGGGGTGGCCGGCGAATGGAGTGCGAACGCCGCTGCATTACGCCGCCTCACCACGCCACGCATCACCGCTGCCGTCGCTCCGCGCTAGAATGGAGCAGCTGTTTCGTGACTGAATTCGTTTTTCTGCGGGTCGAGAATGATTTTTGCGTCGTGCTTGCCAAATATTAATATTTTTTAGCGGTTCTATCCTTGGATGCAACTGTTCTCTCTTATGTTTATCATGTGTGGCTCTGCTCTCTTTGTGGTAGAGGGTAAGTACAGATTTCTAGTGCAGAAAATAGCGATTAGGAAGCTGGTGGGCAGTAGATTTATGTACTTAAACATACCTTTTACTTCTGCAAATGTACAGTAAAAAAATAAAAAAAAAACAATAATTTGCTTTTAAATGGGAATACGTTTGTTTAAGAGGCTTTTTTACTGAGTCATGAATCTCGTACATTTGTTTTTGATACATAATAAAACATGCTTGCATCTATCACGTACGGTCTGTTGCATGCTCTACCAGTCAGTATTAAAAAGGAAAAGTTATTCTTCCAGAGAAGAAATAAAGTATTTTCTGCAACAGTGTGTTATTCCATTAGAGAATGTGCTAACTCTGTAAAATGACAAGATACATTTTATTTACAAAATTAAACATTAGTGAATAAAGAGCATAGTTTTATCCATTGCTACTTTAATAAAGTATGAGACTAAGTAGCTTTTAACCTTTGTCTTTTACGAGTCATTCCAGCTACCGTTACTTACGGTGTTGTATCACTTGGACTTAACCCAAGTAATTTTATAACAGGAACAATTTGTAAATTTGAAAGAACATACTTTTTTTTTACAATATTGTCAATTTTAGGTAAAATTGTAAATAAATAAAATTAAAATAAATAAGTGATAAGTAAGCATTTAATATTCACTTTATTACGAATCATCCACATTCCCCGTTACACATATTTCGGACACTCATCAGTTAGCATGAGATTATGTAAACCGTTCTTACAGGAAAGGACAGTTACAACTCTGGTTATCTCGATCGACAAATGGCATTATCTGCGAAGATATCTATCGCCGCTTGACTTTAAGCATGACTTGCTCAGAAGGAGTACCCGCGAGGATAAGACAAAACAAGAATCTCGCCCGCATCGCGTGAGCACCACCTGTTTGGCGGCTGCCACGCGCCCTCGGGGCCTCCCACTCGCGCGCCGTCCCCGCCTTCTCGCGGCCGCCGTCGCCGGGCGCTAAATCGTTCACGTGCGCTCGCGCGTTATAGCGCCTTTTTACGCCCCGGGGGCAATCGCGCATCCGCGCCGCGCACGGAGCGCACGAGGCGACGCGGCGCAGGGGGCGTGCGCCTTCTCGGCGTCCCACTCGCCCCCCCCCCACCCCACCTCCCTCGCACGCCGCCGCTCTGCCTCGGCATATCCTTCCCGCACCCGCTCTCACGTACTCGTTCCTGCCTCCAACCATCTATAACTCACCTCTTCGTCACCCCTTCACCCTTCGTCAACCCTGCATCGCATAGTCCGTTGCATCGCCAACGTACTACCGCCGCATTCCATTACTTCCGACGCCCGCTAGCCGATGGTAGGTCGCGCCGGATCTCGCCATCCAGAGGGGCAAGATCATTGTCATTTCCCGAGCAATAAACATGCACTACGCTTATGGGACCTTAGCCGTTGACGCTCCTGGATTTCTAGTAATAAATCATTTATACCGCCACAAACATGCACTATTACAGTACGCCACAGTCTCCCTTTATATCTCGTCTGTTCACGTGTGCGTGACCGCGGCTTCATGCTCGTCGTACATCATTTTCACTATTCCTCTACGTCTAGACTTCCGCAAATCCATTCAGCCACCATCTCAATTGCGAACTCATCCCTGCCACCGCCGGAGCTGCCACCTCCCTCGACAAAAGAAGGTCGGCGCGGCTCGGCGATCGCCGGGCGGTGGGGGCGGAGGCGCCGGCGTCGCGAGCGGAGGGGCTGCTGCAGCGGCCGCGCCGCCGCCGCCGCCGCGAGCGCCAGTCCGTCGTCGGCCGGCTGCGCGTCCGCCGTCGCCGCGACGCGCCCTCGCTGTATTTATTTTGCAGTGCGCGGCGCGTTTGTTTGAAGTGTTAGCGATACATAAACGCGGCGCGCGCGCGGGCGCGTGGGTGGGGCCAGTGGGCGCCGGAAGAGCCTCGTCCAGCGCGCGGCGCCCGTCGCGTCGCGGCTGTTTGTTGACGCGGCTCGAGCACCGGAAGCCGCCCGTTGGGCCACGTGCGTCCCGCGGCTCCTCCCGCCGCACTCGCCCGGCACTCGGCCCGGCGCCGGAGGCTGCGCCTTTGTGCGGGTGATTGTCAGGTCTGTTGCTGGGTTGCTCTTTGTAGTCGTTTTCCTGACCTGCGCGGTCGTTCCAAGTTGCCTTGCGTTGCGTGTCGTTAGTGTGACGTAACTTCGTATCTGCGTGGTCTCTACACGCGGTGGGTGATCGACGAGAGTTCCTTGTGCTGTGAAATCGTGGTCATGTGTCGTTTTTGATGAAGTGTAAACTTTTGTTCTTCTATAAGTTTACACTCGTCGATATCTAAAATACGGTAATCATAAGTGCTGGTGTTGAAGTTTCAGTATTATATGCTTGTTTTCTTTGAATATTTGTCCTTTTGTTCATTGATACGCTTGATGGCAAGACGTGTTATTAATACACGAGTAAGCGGAATGTTTCTTTATTGATATATTTGTAATCGCCAGATACATTTTACTTTTATATTTTTCAATCGAACCTACTTGTTTTATATTTCAGTTGCATTTCTTTCTTCCTGTCTATGTTTCGTACAGTTATCAAGTAAAAAAATGAATTATCATTCAATGTGTTATATATGCATTTAAGTTTTAAAACTTATTTTTTTTATATGTACATAAGTATGTGTAGAAGTGAGCACGTTTCTTTCAGAAGAAAGTTGTTTTCCTTTTAGCTGTGTTGACAATTAAAATATTGATTTGTTTTGAGGAGCGAAATGAACAATTCTATAAAGAAATTCATATATTCCTGATGAAAATAGCATAATATTCCTACTTCACGTTCAAATTACGTGAATATTTGAATCAAATTATAGCGATACATTTCCAGCTTGTGGAAAGCGATGAACGTTGTATAGAAATAAAATTATCTCGTGTGAAAAGCACAATCATGCGTTTGCCAGGTGGCTGAAATCCATCGCCACGTAGCCCTCAGTGCCCAGAGTTCCTTTGACTTCCCCCTCGCAGTCCTTGCTTCATTTGCCGTGCGTGGGAGGTCGTCATGTGTGCAATGAGTCTGCCTCGCGTGTGTATCAGGTCGAATCTGCAGCTATTCATAGGTCGTTAATAGTTGCGGAATTTGAGGAAGCTTAGCGCGGGAAAACGTGTGAATTTCCTTCTGCTGATTCATTTACTCTGTATATCCCTATCATGCCTTTTCATGGCTTTTGTATTCGTATGAAATACAAGAATATGCCGTGTGCGTGTATCATTATAGTTTGGATTTACGTGGATTTGAGAATGATTTTTTGATTTCAAGGTGTATGAAGACACAAAATAAGCGTTTTATCGTCATTTTAGATTTCGTAGTTTCATCTTATGGTACCATTGTTTATTTAATGAATACCGTATTTTATTTCGCATAATTAATTTAAATTTCGTGCAAAATTTCGTAAATTACAATTTTGAAAAAAATATCATACGTTTCCATCTATTCAGAATGAGGCACACAGCTATGATTCTCCCCCTCCCCTCTTCTGTAGGCCCCTCTCCCGTGTCTTCGCGTCACCTTTAATTTTTGGTCGAATGCACTTAATCGCCTGATGTAATTTATTAAGCAAAAAGAATTGATCTGTAACAATTGCAACGAATATTATGCCTTCACATTCCAACTCGCCCTTCAGTACTTAAAATATCAGATTTAAGTATCTACAATTCTCAATTTTATTATACTCATAAATTAACGAAAAACCAAGCAGACTCTGGTCATCTGAGGGGTGTTAATGGTTTTGAGACACGTATAAAGACGAAATATATAGAAAAACAAAGAAAAAGTTTCGATTTTGTCTGAATAATTCCATTATTTTATTAAAAAGTTGGCAATTTCTCATATCTGATGTTGCGATTATATTTTCATACTCTATGCGTCGCGTTACGTTACAGTTGACGTCATACAACGAAGGAGACATGAAGTTTCAGTATGCACGTGTGGTTTTTCAAAACAACCAAAGTTTTGTTGTTCCAATACCCCATTTTTCACACTTTTTACAGCAGCATTTTTGCTGCTGCAGGCCACTAATTTGTTGCTATTACTCCATTATGTTGGATAGCCCATAAACCAGGAAGAGTCTCCATAGTTCATATGGTTAAATTTTGGACGTGGGTAGCCCTCATTGTCTAATTTTGTTTAGTTATATTGATAAATATTCTCTTATAAGCTGTAAGTTACACACGGACACCAACAATGACAGCGCGAGGGAAAGTTGTTCGAGGCTCACTCCATCAATAGAACACGTTAAACGTCGTTTGTCACCTCGAAGGCTGTAGAACTTAAGTCGGCATTGAGAACTCTCTCCGGCGAAGATTTCTCCGCGACGCACTCTGCAAAAGAAATGCGTGAGCAGTGAGCTCACTGCTTTCCTTCGGCCAATTTTTCTCTCTTGCGTTTCTCGAACGTAATGCTGCTCATTACGTCTTTTCACGTGCAATGCAATGCGCGCGTAATTTAATTGTGAGTACTACTTCACGTATGAATTATATCGTGCACACATTGAGGGAATTATGCTATTTCGCTCTGCAGGTGTCAAATGGTGATCACGTACTGATTAGTTGAACAGGTTAGCATGTGTATCATTATATGGAATAGATGGCAATATTTGTTTAGTTAGTGTGAAGTAGTCAAGTTTCAAAATCTTCGGATTCCATAATTGTGTAAAACTAAAATTAAACTAGTATTTTTACATTATTAAACTAAATTTAAAATTGCATTGTAAATACAATATAAATTTGTGTTTTATTATTCAATAAGTACTTTGTTATGAGTTGTATAGATAATATAGAATTAACAATACTTACACGATTATACACACTTTTTAGCGCATTTTATTTAAGATTTTCAGATAGTTATAGCATTCATTATCAAAGTGAAGTGATTATTAAAGTTTCCGCTGGTATTGATCTCCGCATTTAAAATAATGACAATATTCCTTCTCATATTTCCTTCATATCGTTGGAGGCAAACAAATCGTCCCGCCCAAAATGGACAAAGAAGACCCATCCTTCTTTCCCCCCTTTGGAGTTGCCGTCACGCGCAGCTGGTTGAGCACGTGCGTCAATTTACGCCCCGGAGGAGATAGCTTTTGCCACGCGCCATTTGCCGCACATCCTCTTCCAGCGGCTGACCTCGACGTTTGGACTTGATTTCTATCGAGCGGGCGCGCATGCTTCATTTCCTTCTTCCCGGCGCCGCCCCCGCGTGCGCCTCGCGGCTTCCAAACCGCTCGCTCCGGACGACTTGCGCGCTCGGAGAGCACGGAGGGGCGCGTCTTGAAATGCGAGTCCGAAAACGGCACGAAATGCAGCTAAAAGACCAGCGAACGACTTGAGAGCGGTTGGACGGAAACAATAAGTTTGCAAACGTCGATATAATACGAACCGGAACTTTTACTTAGTTGCGTGGAAAGTTTTAAGAAGTTTTTAAGTGTTCCGTGGTGTTTTGGAAGATTCGAGAAAAAAAAAGTCATGACTTAATTCTTTAAAAAAGGGTGTTTGACGCAAATATTTCATTCGAATGTAGAGATGTGATTTTCTCTTGATGATACACGAGTTCCTTATGTCTTTTACATCGTAGAAGAATCTAAATTTTCTATTCTTCATGACGGTATACATGTGAGTATGTAAGATCTTATATTCGTTACATAATTGGTACTTATTGCATAATCTTACATCATAAAAATCTGGAACGCTACATGTGAGATAGAATTGAGAATCTGGGTGTTTCATATTGCTAGAAAATAGCAACTGGAATAAAAATCCAATGTGAAAACGAAGACACATTTTCGACTGAAAATATTTATTTTTGAATTCAAAGAAGACATTCAAATGTCATCATACATTTATTTGATTAGTGAATACTGTTAAAACAATACAGATGAATGTGCTAATTTTCAACAATAACTAAAGAAATAAAATGCTTGTCATGTGGGGTTGATTGGAAAATGTATAAAACTTGAACAACCGAGCAAAGAAATAGCGAGAGTATGGAGACAGTGGAGGGTACAGAGTATTTTTTAAAAGAGTGTTAGATGGTCGGACGAGGGGGTATCGGTATGTAACTTGAAGATGTTTTGTTCGTTAACAAGAATTTCTAATTTCTTATTGGTTTGAAATTGTTAAATTTTTGTCTATCACTCTGTTCCAAAATATATGTCCCATCAGTATTTCCAGTTTATTCACGTCTTCATGGGATGGAAAAGTGTGGCCAGTGTTAATAAGATCTGTAGTAAAAAGAAGGTTTTTTTTGTAATTTTCGTCCACGACCTATTATTTTTCTTAAACAACTTTTGAATATAAAATGCCTTTTATGATACAAGACCACAGTTTTATTTTCAAAATTATTCTGTGTAATATATATTGTTTTTTGGCGAGTTTTGTGCTCTTATTTATAAAAGAAGAAGTTATTTTCAACGAAAGTATTAAAACTCTCGACAGTTGGGAATGTTAATTCGTATTTAATAGCAATATTTGATAGGAATGAAAGAGCAATTACTGAAACGTCCTCTGACCAAGTCCAGTGTAATTACACTCGGAGTCCAGAGACAAGCGAGAAATGCGAGCTGTCCACCTCACACGAACCCTGCTTCCCTCTTTGCATTGTAACGGCGGAAGGGGCTGTGCCCCCCGGCTGGGCTGGGGGGTGCGGGTGTGCGGGGTCCTCTTGTAGGGCGGGGGTAGTGAGGGAGGGGTCGGGGTTCGCAATAAGGCCGGGGGGTGAGGGTGCGAAGGGGTTGGGTTTTCAAATGAGGGCGGGGGGACAGAGGGGTCGGGGTGGGGGAGGGGGGGTCGGGTTCAAATGTAGGGCGGGGAGTGGGGGAGCGAGGGGTCGGGGTTCGCACAATAAAGGCCGGGGGTGGGAGGGTGCGAGGGTTGGGGGTTTTCAATGTGAGGGCGGGGGGAGCAGAGGGTCGGGGTGGGGGAGGGAGGGGTCGGGGTTCAAATGGTAGGGGCGGGGTGGGGGAGGGAGGGGTCCGGGGTTCGCGATATAGGGGCGGGGGTGAGGGTAGCGAAGGTTGGGGTCAAAGAAAGGGCGGGCAGTTGGAGAGGGAAGGGGTGGGTTCGCAATGTAGGGACAGGGGGTGAGGGGAGGGAGGGCGGTCGGGGTTCGCATGTAGGGCGGGGGTATGGGGAGGGAGGGAGGCGGGGGTTTCAAATTCTAGGGCGGTGGGGTGGGGGAAGGAAGGGGTTGGGGGTGTTGGCATAATAGGGGCGGGGTTGTGTGGGGGGCGGGTCGGTGTCAAACGTAAGGGCGGGGGGTGGGGAGGGAAAGAAGGGACTGGGTTCAAATGTAGGGCGGCGGTTTGGGACGAGGAGGGGTCGGGGTTTCGCACGTAGACTGGATGGCACGCGGTGGTGGGGGGTGGGGTGCCGGGGTGTTAGGCATGTAGGCGTGCGGGGGTGGGGCAGGAGGGGTCAGGGTTCCAAATGTAGGGCCGGGGGTGGGGGAGGGAGGGGTCGGGGTTCGCATATAGGGCGGGCGGTGAGGGAGCGAAGGGTTAGGGTTCAAATGAAGGGCGGGAGTTTTGGGAGGGAGGGGTCGGGGTTCGCATGTAGGGCGGGGGTAGGAGAGGGAGGGAGCGGGGTCCAAATTTAGGGCGGGGGGGTGGGGAGGGAAGGGTGGGGTTTGC